AAAATTCCTTCTTGACCCCAAAATAGCAGTTAGATGTCTCCTTGGATCAAGCAGCTATTACCCCACTAATTAGAAATTATATCCCTGTATGTTATGTTTTTGCAAGTATTTATCCAATTTCTGTTTAAACATCTGTATGGACTCTGATAAAACCACATAAAAAACAAAACAAACTTTTAACAACTATATATTAGTAACCTGGTCTCACCAAAGAATCAATGACAAAATAGAAATTTCCTATCTCTCACTCTAACTTGTTTCAAGTACCCCTGGCAATAGCCACCTAGCTAGATACAGCTGCAACCTAAACCTACTCTCACCCAAGAATCAATGAAAAATAGCAATTTCTTATCTATCACTCAAACTTGTTTCAAGTACCCCTGACTATAACCACCTAAATGTACTCTCACCCAAGAATTAATGACAAAATAGCAATTTCCTATCTCTCACTCTAACTTGTTTCAAGTACCCCTGGCAATAGCCACCTAGCTAGATACAGCTGCAACCTAAACCTACTCTCACGCTAGAATCAATGACCCGGATTAGCTCCCACTACCCACAAACATATCACAGCTGGTACATTTCTCTCAGTAACTGCACTCAAAGTGTCTGGAAAAACATGCTGCTAGGACATATAGATTATTGCTCATCCCTTTTCCCCTTTATTGGTCAGTTATCACTTGATCTGTAAATTATAGATCAACATTTACTGTCTGCCCTTAATCATCAGCCATTTTTTGTTTAATACCTCTACAGGAGATACAGCCCCCAAATCTCTTGTCTATAATGACAAACTAACCTGCTTATTTGCATCCCCCCCCTCAAAGAATAACTACAGCGTCTCCATTCCATTAACCTGCTTTCTGATGCCAGGAAGAGCACTCTAAGTCTAGAATGAAAAAACAAGCATGTTTGGACTTGTATGGGTTAGTTCCCCCGAGATTCGGTGCCAGGCGACATGAAAATCTGGCTTTTCATTTGTGTCTGAAACAAATCTCCAAGTCTAGTCACTATCTCAGTATTTCAATCTTAAGATTGTATGGTTACAGAGTACAACAAAAGTGAAGCTTGAGTTTAAATTAATAACAAATAAATTACATTTTTAAATGTTGAATTAGAACCTTGGACAACTAAGATCACTAAGCGGGTGGGTTAAACCAGTACTATTAGTCTATCAACTCCTAAGATTTGGTGAATGTTTTAATTTACCATTGAATAGTTACAATCAGGGGTATCAGCACACTTCTGTCAACATAACCAGCAGAGCTCTATGTAGGGGTTATGGTGCTTGGAATGTTTACCAATTATTTTAGGTTTTTAAAATATATTTATTAATTTCGTGTATTTTGCTGTAACCTAATAATCAGTCAGATCCATTAAATTTTATTTTATTTAACCGCCCAGCAATATTCACTAAATCCTGTTTTGGCCATTCTAACTAGCATAATGTGATTGCTTTTAAGCTTATCATTATTAGTGATGTCGCTAACCGTTCGCGAACTTTTCGCGAACGGTTCGCAACATCACTAATCATTATTTGCTAAGTATGCAAAGTTCTGCATCTTGTATCTGGATAATATCCTGCCCGCCATATGTTTTACCTCCATACTGCCCTTGGAAGAAACCACCTGAGGGCAGTGAAATGTATGTAAGAGAGCTCTCTATTGTAAAGACAGGAATAAAGTTACCGAAAGTCATCCAGAACGTGATCTCCCCTGATAAACAGGGCATCCTTTTAATATTTTTAAGTATATAATACATATAACAACTTATTTTTCCATCATACTATGTGCAGAGACATCTGTATACAGCACATGAAAGATTACGTTTATGTAAAACTGTAATACAAATTGAGGATTAACAGGGTTTTATTCACTAAATTCTAAAATGTTGGGAATGCAAAGTTAATTCTAAGAAAATGTTTAAATTCACGGCCAAAATAGCAAAAGGCAACTATGTTTTCTGTTTGGTTATTCTAGCCTAACATTTGAAATTAACTAATTCACTTTGAATTTGAGACAATTTACATTTTAGTGAGTAGCTCTGTATATATTATCGTCGTTTGAAAAATAAACATAATATATATTCTATTTCCTGAAAATCAGCTTGAATTGGCAAAACAAATTCATGCTAGTGATAACAAAATCACTTATAAACAATTACCGTTACATTCTGCTCTTTCTATTTATAAATCTAATACCGTATGTTTTTCCGGAGTATATTTACAGTAAAAAACTGCCTGCATCCTATATTACGAAGGTCACCCGGTGCAATGTCCAAATGACGTGTAATGGGCAGGTGACCCGTGGTGGGAGCATGATAATTTCTCCATGTAACATGGCATTGCAGACCTCGGTCAGGGTTATGAGTACTGAGACTATTGTGACCCATAAAAAATGAACATTTTTGTGGGAAGGGTTTTAATTTGCATATTGTACTTGGATGTATGGGATTATAATTCTGTATATGTTTTAATGTCTAAAATGAATTCCCTAACTCATGGTTCACTTGGTGATGTGACCAACAGTAAGAGTAAGTTTTCCTGCAAGGCGGTACACTTCCTGGAACTTATATATATTGTTAATACAGAAGTCCACTCTAGCAATATCTGTAATATGGCTTATAGTCATAGACATCCTGAATTTCCAGGTAAGTGTCAAACTATTCAATAATAGTTTGACTCTAAACAAGTGAGACGATGCCAAGGGCACCTGGTACCATAACCACCACAGTGTGTTGTGGACAATTTTTTTCTCTACAAATTCACCACAAATTTTTGTTTATTGATTAACTTCAAAATTAATACACAGGAGCTGGGGAGCAATTTCATTACTATATGGGGATCAGGTATTATTAGCTCCAACCCCCCTCAGCCATTTGCCTAATATACCTCAGACATCCTGGAACCAGGGGTAGGTACATGCACAGCATCCTGGTTTCTACTGTGCCACTGCAGTCTTCCACCAGTTTGTGGCACTGTTTTACTTGTTTGTCCTGCCTTTATATAACACTTTGTAATGCAGAAATATTCCGCAAATTGTTTAATAAATGGGTTATTTTATTGCTGCACACAGTCTTGTTTAGTGTTTGGGTATGAGGTAAGGAGAAGTATTTACCATCCCATCCAGTGATTGACTGATGGTTGTAAGATACTACTGAAGAAGTTCAGGCTGCTAGGCCGAGCCATCGACTAGGGAATGGGGGAGCTCCCAATGTCTGGCCTAATAGCCACGCATCTTGTTTCCCTAAGTACCCTGCTCTCCATGCCCAGAAGTGGTGTACGAATAGAGACACACAGGGAATATTATAGAGATTGTCTTCTTTCTGTCACAGTTGAGAGTCACTGAGGAGACCAAGTCTTGCAGGCAGGGACAGCAGAGCAGCAACCTGGTAGTGAAGAGACCCAGGAAGAGTAGCATACTACATAGTGCTCCCCTTACAGTAGGTTTGCAGACATTGGCCTTGCTGAAACAGTAACTGGCCAGGCAAGGTACTATTGGCAAGGTACATACACACCTTTTTTATTGTGTGTGTATATATATATATATATAGATATATATATATATGCCTGTGTGTGCCTCTCTGTGTATGCCTTTAATATGTGTGCCTGTCTTTGTCCATGTTTGCTTGTCTATGTCTGTCTGTGTATGTCTTTGCCTGTGTGTACCTGTTAGTGACTGTCTTTGTATATGTGTGCCTGTGTGTGCCTTTGTATGCCTACCTGTGTATGCACTGATGCCTGTTTGTGTGCATGTCTTTGTGTGTGTATGTGTCTATGTGTGTGTATGTAAGCAATTGTGTGTGTCCAGATGTGTGCTAAGTGGTGGAATTGTGGTGGAGATACAGGGATGGGGCTTTTGCTAGAGGTCATCAAATGATTTTTGTGCTCAAGCTCTGGGTGGTTTTTGGCCTAGCAATGCTCCTTGGCTAGTCATGTAGTGCTAAAATACCAAGTTGCTTCAGTAACTTATCAAGGTACCTGGTGTCACAAGCAAAGGGACATATGGAGTAGCAAAGTCAAGTACCAGGCATCCTGTTACAGTCACCATTTAGTTTGTTCCATTCTGTAAATGATTATGAATGAAGATATACAAATACAGTAAGTCTAAAGAATTTAGACCACAATACACTGTAGTGATTATGGTACCAGGTTCACTAAGTATTGTCTCATTGTTTACCGTCAAACTATTATTGAGCAAATTGACACTTACTTGGTGTCACATTACCTTTCGTTGCCCAGGCAGTAATAGAGCCTGAAGGTGCTCTTGTTGTGGAAAGGGACACTCTCTAAAGTCCCTCTTTTCTACTCAGCAGTTTCGACACCAGCCACTGTAGCTCAGCCCCCTTCAATAACAAATGAGAGCATGTGCTGATGTCATGACGCTAATGACGTCATGGCCGCCAAAATGTTTGAATTCAACCTTTTTGGGGGCATGGCTACTTAATTAAAGCTACATACTATAAAAAGGCTGCATAGGGCAAGGATCATTGCCCTGTTGTGGTTTCCACTAGTGCTTGTAATTTCTGACTATTCTTCATTCTGTTATCCTGTGATTCAGCTATTGGTTCTCGCATCCCCGATTTCTGGTTTTCCTGACTCGGCTTGTCCCTAACCATTTACTATCTAAATATTGTAAGCCTGGCCACTTTAAGAACTGGTATATGTTAATACATCAATTATCATTTAAACTCTGTGTGTTGGGTCACTAGGAAATCGTGACACCTGGGTTACCAGTATGACAATAGTCTTGACATATATTGCTTGAGTGGACATCACTATTAGCAATATAAATCCATCCTTGCACATACTTGACTGTCTGAGAGTGCCAGCTGGCACTCCTAAGCCATTTAAAGAAAATGTTTGGGCACCATAGCACTTCATTAGTGATGTCCCGAATGCTTCGCCGAACGGTTCGCCGTGGATGGCGAACATATGCGCTGTTCGGTCCGCCTCCTATTCATCATCATTGAGTAAACTTTGACCCTGTACCTCACAGTCAGCAGACACATTCCAGCCAATCAGCAGCAGACCCTCCCTCCCAGACTCTCCCACCTCCTGGACAGCTCACTAAGAATGCAGCTTCACAATGAATGTAAATTGGATGCTGTCCAGGAGGTGGGAGGGTCTGGGAGGGAGGGTCTGCTGCTGATTGGCTGGAATGTGTCTGCTGACTGTGAGGTACAGGGTCAAAGTTTACTCAATGATGACATAGGGGGCGGACCGAACAGCGCATATGTTCGCCATCTGTGGCGAACCGTTCGGCAAACCGTTCGGGACATCACTACACTTCATCAAAAGAACATTGTTACAGTGCCAAGAGGTCACTGGTGCTGGCTTACCTTTAGCGGTTAAACCGCTTAACCCTAAAGTCTGTGCTCCAGCTTTATTTCACTCTAACCCCTCGTCCTTCTACTTTCTGAAATTCTTCATAACATAAAGCTCGGGCACCACTGTGCAGTGGCGACGCTGATTGACATGCGGCAAATCAGTAACTCTATTCATAAAAACAGCTCAAAAAGGTACTGATTGATATATTATAAACTCTTATCCAAAAATATTAAATCAAGGCCATCATTTGGCCTGTCATTGTTGTGCTGTTGATTTTGCGAAGTTATATTAGTAATCCTATAACAGTACTTATTCATACGTTATTTGGTTTAATTGTTAAGGGAATGTTTTGTGACATTGCTATGTGATCACATGTGATACAATATATCCAGTGTTTATTTTGCTAATCTGCAAAAAACTGTGTTGAATTTGTTTACTTGTTTTGTATTTTTTTTAATTAGTTAAGAACTGTTGTCTCTGGTGGGTTGAATCCTTATGGCTTTTAAATTTGATAAGGAATAGTGGCCCCATGAATGAGTTGATAAATGTTATCTGGATTGATTGTAATCACGTAAGCAGGCTCTACAGACACCTAAAGTGAAATGCTTTATGTGTGAAGAGTGTGTTTTCTTTTTTTAATTTTACAAAAAGTACAGATCTCCATAGAAATTGGCACTTTTATAAATTATGGTTTTCACACACCACTGTCAATCAGACAACTGGTCCTGTTACTTCCTGGCTGCTTAGCACAGTGGAGATAAACTCAAGAGGCAGGCAGAGCTAAGAGCATTGTGAAGACTTCTCATTGAGCTGCATAGGGAAGTCTGTGATAGGACATCACAGAAAGTCTGGGCTGGATTAGAAAATAAGTGCTTGCACAGACTGCAAAAAAGAGATCTGCAGCTTTTGCAAGCTGCTTTTATACATGCCCCCAATGGAAAATGCATAATAAAACAGAATCACGCGTTCATTTAAGGTATCTAAAATCTACTAAATAGGGATTTTTAATTTCTTCTTGGATTTGAGCAGTGAATTGTCCCTTTAAGCTTGACTATAGTGTTAGGAAAACAGGTTTGCATTCCTAGCACAATAATGTTCCTTTAAACCTTTGATTACCCTAACCACTTCTTTAATCCCGTATGCACTTCGACAGCTACATTCACTCATTATACTCACTGATTCAAACACAGTACATTACAAGCAATGCAGACATATGCAAATACATACTCACATATACACTGTACATATGTAATTGTCAAACATAAATGTAAATATGTAAATGTAAAATGTAACGTAAAGTTAAATTAATGATAGTTATTTAATAAGCTTTACTTTGAGTTTAGGGGGCATGGGGTATTTTAGAATTTTGTGTCTACAGTCATCTAACATGTAAATCTGGCCCTGTGCTCAAAATATAATGGTAGTACAAGATCCGGTCTAAATTGTATTGTCTGTCCTATTCTATATATTTTTTTCTTTTACTTGTTTGTGGAAAACTGATATTAAAATTGAAGCCACATAAGTGTGTATGTACACTGTAACGGATCGCCTGGCACCCCGACTGGGTACCTCCGTTAAAGGATGCTCCTAGCGCTTCCTGAGGACTCCAAGCACTGCAGCAGACACCACAACCACCAAACCGGAGAAACAAATAAATTCTCCCAAGCATATGAATGCTGTAGATAGTTGAATAGGAACCATACGAATAGGTTTACTCTCCTAGCAGTCAAACTGGAACAGCATACAATAAATCCTTCCCCCAATAATGAGACGACACTTCACTTTGAGGGTTAAGCAGGAACTCAGGTGCTGGCACACCCAGCCTGGTTTTTATTACAGTCTTGCAAATACAGGACCACCCACAGGGAGGTATAAAACAACCAATCACATCACAGTTACATCCCACATATTCCCTCCCTTTATCCTGAGAGGAAACTCAATTACACATACAGTTAAAACATACTTTCTACCCAACTTTCATAACTCCAAAACCATACATCACATTCACATAAAATTACATATTCACAATCAATCCATTCAGGGGAACAACATATTCAAAAAATGGCACAAATCAGACAAGGGGTTCAAAAGTTAGTAAAAAGTCCTTTGTGACTAAATGAAGCATGGCTTTTTGGCCCAAACCAGTTTCAGAGTCTTCTATCCTGGAGATAAGTAATTCAATTATCTCCCAGGACAGACACAAGACTCCATTAAGCACATGGTTGCAAAAGACACAAAACACTTTAAAATACATAAAGTCACTTTTTACACATAACACACAGACATTTCACATATCCCCAGATAGCTGGGATCTGAGCGCACAAAACTACCGAATAGCGCTCAGATCCTATTCACATAGTTCAATTGCCATGGAGCCGAAGTCTTTAACTACACGAATGGGCTCCATGGCATAGCTATCTGGGTTAACACATTCACATAAAGTCTGGTCCATAGTCCAAAGGCAAGAGGCGGGCAAGCAGCCCCCTCCAAGGACACGTGGCGAGGCCGGTTTCGCCACATACACATTTACAAATGATATGTTATTAATATTTATAAAAAGAAATTATAAAAGTACCCCTTGTTTTTTATTTTGTATTTTAAAGTGTGAAGTAATGCAAAATTATTCTGACTTCCATGATATTATGCATGAACCCGCAGCCATAACCAGAAACCACAGGACCCTGTTGCGAAAGTTGCCCTGGAGACCTCCATGCCCCTATATGTGTCGCATCTTACTCCTCCCGCCAGATGTCTCTTACTTCCCCTCAGCCACTCCATGTGTCTCATCTTACTCCTCCCGCCAGGTGTCTCTTACTCCCCCTCAGCCACTCCATGTGTCTCATCCCCCCATGAGTGTCATTCCCTCCATCAACCCCTCAATGTGTCTCAATTCCCACCCCAGGGCCTCCATGTGTTTCATTCCCTATATGCATCTCATTTCCCCCCTCTGTGTGTCTCATTCCCTCCCCCTCACCTCTCCATGTGTATTATTCACTCTCCTCCATTCCCTCCCCCCACCACTCCATGTGTATCATTCCCCTTTATGTGTCCCATTACCTCCCTCTTCCCAGCCCCTGCATTAGTCCCATTACCTCCCCTCCCAAGCCTCTCCATGTGTCCCATTACCTCACCCCACCCCTCCATGTGTCTCATTATCTCCCTCTCCCAAGTCCCTCCATGTTTCCCATTACCTCCCTTCCCCCATCCCCTCCATGTGTCTCATTATCTCCCTCTCCCCAGCCCCTCCATGTGTCCCATTACCTCCCTTCCCTCCTGTACCTTCTTGTGGCTGCGTACCTGCTTGTGGCTGCCGCGGTACCCAACTGACAGGAAGTGGTCTCTCACTGAACACCTACTGTCAGCTGTGGTGCTCGGCAACGTTACACAGAGATTGACAGCAGAGGAGCAGCACAGTGGTCCCCTCCTGCCAGTCACCCGGGAACCACGGGCTCCGCCTTGCACCTGCCCTGGAGATAGGGTGGCCCACGATCGCAGTGGTGGCAGGGGTCGCAGCAGCAGCTGGGGCCCCTGGATTGCTGGGCCCAGTGACTGCTGCGACCCCTGAGACTGTGGTAGTTATGCCACTGCATGAACCTACAGATGTTTTTGCCATAAAATGGGTGAGCAGTGATATTCATAGTTGGTTTTTGTGTCAGCAGGAGATTAGATCCCCACCCCTGAGATAGTAGGAAGCCGATGTGAATGCTCAATGGATCCAGCTCAACAAATTTCATAAGACTTAATCTGCTAATTGATGTCGACTGGTAATTGATGCTGGCTTGCTGGCTTTAACATTAGGTGCTGCTGGATTTGGAAATTAAGGCTTACCTCCATTTATCTCTTGTTTTCTTGTGGGAAGTATATTACAAAAGCCTCCTTAATTTACTGTGGTGTCTCTTATATGTCTTCCTCAGCTTGGACATCATATCTCTCCGAGGAAGTTATCAACAAATCCTTCTCAGACAACAGATCTACACACCTGGCGAGGTTGTGTAACTGAATCATAGTATATGCCTTCAATGAGGCTGTCATCTCTGGCACTTCGGTGTCTTATATGTCTCCCTATTTTAAAGAATCAAGAAAATCATGATTTCTCCCCATATCGGGTGCTTAGAAATTACTTTCAATACAGCTAAATCACCCCAGAATTCATGAACAAGTCAGGCTACCGGGGGTATGTACATTCCACTCCTGACACCGCTGCCCCCTTGTTCACACCCCCATGGGGATCCCTCTTGCTCCGGGGTTGCACCCCACATGGGAGCTCGCCCTCTCCGGTGGAGCTCACCCTCACTGGGATCTCATCCCCACAGGTTTCTTGCCCACCGCAGGGGCGCCGCCCCCCCCAATGGCCAGGAGCAACAGTGGGTGGGTGAGGTTTGTTTGGGAGGGGGTCCCGGGCATTGTCCTTACCTACTCCCGCCGCCATGGGGTGGCACAGCTAGCTGCCAGGGAAACCTTGCGCGAGGTGCACAGGCAGACAACCAGCTTGGAACCCCGATGAAGCCTGAGAACTGAACACCGGACTGCCCCTATTTGATCCCAGGGTTAGGGACTTTATTACGGTAAGATCCCTCCGCACCTCCTGGATCTCCTCCCTTATTATGGAGCACAGTTCCGTAACCAGGGCCATCTTGTCAGCCCTGGTTAGCATGTTGGAAGAAATTGCAGCAAGCTCAGCAGAGATCTGTGAAAGAGAGTCTGTTCGCAGAGATCCCGCCATGGAATCCGCTATGCTGCTTGCGCCTGGTGAGATCAACGCCATCTTGTCAGGTGGTCGTGTTGTAGAATTATTAGGCCTCTATAAATCTGTAAGGCCCCTTTAAATCCTCTTGCTATACCTCTAAGAGGCCCCCATAGTTTTACAAGAAAGCTTTGTCTATAGAACATAGAATTTGCATGCCAGCAAGAAATAGCTTTGATAAAATGTGTATTTACTAAAAGCCTTGAAACCTAACCTTGAGAAACTAACCGTGCCAGCTACACTCTAAATGGATGGCTGCCAAAGCACCCCTCCCATCGTGTGAACACCTCGTGCTAACAAGATGGCGCCTACATCTTGTGTCCACTCCCGTGTCAAGGATGACATCACCTCTTGATAGGAGGGTACCTAACTAACCACTTAACACCTGGACCAATCAATAGTGTCTATTTGCTGTTATCTTGAATTCTTCAGTGATGTAATAATGCCTTTAAAAGGGTCTGCGCACCCATTTTCTGTCAGAAGCCACTAAACTTCTCCGAAGTTCTTTCATTACCCTGAACTTTGTGTCTCAGTGTGAATTTACTTCTGCGTGCACGCAACTTTATTATCTTTAATTTGGACAGGAACAGATAGTCATTCAAACTAATTGGTTTGCAGTAAATTATCTACTACAGTCGCGTGGGTCAGAGGCCGTCGGGAGTAGACAGGAATTCGTCAATGAGGCCCGCCAGCTGTTTCGGCGATTCTGTCCCCGGAGGTCCAGGGGTCATCAGGGTTAGGGGACCTAAAGTACCAATGGCAATCGGGGAGGGAGGGAGTGATGAGGGGGCGGGTGCCCATATGGGATGAGGGATGGGGTGATGGGTATAACCACACCAGGGGACCCTGACCAGGGAGGGATACCTGACTTGGGGGACACATCCATAAGCAGCCCGAAATGATAGACCCTGCTACTCCCAGCCGACGATGATCAAAGGGGTTGGACCCTATAATGTGACCAGTGACGGGTCTAGCCCTTTACACCTGCCCACTGTCAGGGGACCCGCACTCGACCGCTAGGCTATGACGCAGACAGGACTAAGCCAGGACACGCGACTGGCGAGGGGAGAAAGTGGGGAAACGGCTCCTGAGGACGCTGTGGTCCCAAAGGGTGTCTGTGGCGTTCCTGCAGGAGACACACTTCAAGGAAGGGAATGCCCCTACATTATGCGACAGGGGATTCCCTCAGGGGTTCTTCACCAACCACCAGGATGCCAAACATTCTGGAGTAGCCATTCTCTTTGCGCAGACAGTACCATTCCAATGCACCGCCACACAGGTGGACCCACTCGGTCGATACCTCTTTGTCAAAGGAACCATAGCCGATCGCCTGTACATCCTGGCCAACGTATATTGCCCCAACCGCGGTCAACACACATTCTTGGCCCGGACTCTGTCCCTCCTGGAGAAGTTCAGAGAAGGACTCCTGGTGCTAGCGGGAGACCTGAACCTACCCTTGGACACGCGAGTAGACTCGTCGCACCAGCGCCAAACCAGATCACTGCATATGCAGGACCAAATTTGCACTTAACAGACTGGGCTTGGTTGACAGCTAGCGAGCGGCACACCCTGATGGCATGGACGACTCCTGCTACTCTGCCGCAAACAACCAATACAGCAGGATTGACTACGTCTTTGTGGCACAGGAATACCTCTCCCTGCTAATATCCGCAGAAATAGGGATCCACAGAGACTCTGACCATGCCCCCGTATCCATCCAGATTAAGTTGCCCCTATTTAAACCAAAGGAATGCCAATGGAAATTAAATGAGACCATACTATCCGACGCGGAATGCACAACACTGACCACACAGGCGCTCACCCAGTACTTTGAAACCAATACCTCCCCCTAAGTGTCCCCGATGATAACGTGGGAAGCTCATAAATGCGTTGTCAGGGGTCAGGGGTCACTTCATCAACTTCTGCATGCAGCGCAAACGCGTCCTGGAATTGACCAAATGGATAACGGAATTGGAAACCACACACAAACGGGAACTGACAGAGGAGGTATACCTACAACTGACTGACACACGCAGGCAACTCGGGGACCTGCTCTCCCAGAAACTTCTTAACGTGATCCATAAGTCCAATCAATACTTCTATGAGTATTCAAATAAATGCGTCAGACTGCTGGCTCAGACCATGCAACAAAGACGGAGGCAACATCACATCCACAAAATTAAAACTTAGGGCCGAAATGAAACGCAACTCCCGGCCGAGATCATGCAGATGTCCCAGGACTACTATACTGGCCTCTACAACCTGGCTGACACACCCAGCACACTCACCCCTGCACAACACCGACGTGAACTCGCGGGCTTCCTTACCAGGAATGTCTCCCGAAAGCTCTTCCCCTGAGGAGCTGTCCGCAGCGCTCAAGCTAACAAAAGCCAACAAGGCATCAGGACTGGACTGCTTCCCTGCGAGCTACCTACGCACCTTTAGGGACATCCTGCTACCACACCTACTGAAGGGCCTGAATTCTATCCTAGATGGACGGCAATTCCCAGAAGACTCGCTCCGAGCAATAGTCACGGTCCTGCCGAAAGAGGGAAAAGACCCCGCATGCTGTGCGAGCTACCGTCCCATATCCCTCCTAAACGCAGATCTTAAGCTATTTGCGAAAGTCATGGCCCTCCGCCTCTCCAGGTTATTGCCCAAACTGGTCCACCCGGACCAGGTAGGATTCGTAACGGGCAGAGAGGCTCGGAACAACACCATCCAGGCCCTTAAAATCATCCGCTCAGCCCGGACGCGGGGAGGAGGGCTGGCCCTCCTGTCCACAGACGCGGAGAAGGCCTTTGACCAGGTGGACTGGAACTACCTCACGGCCACACTACAGCACATGGGATTCGGACCTAATATTCGGACATGGATATCCACCCTCTACACGACACCATCGGCACAAATCTGAATCAATGGCGCCCTCTCAGACTCGTTCCCTATTCGGAACGGCATGCAGTAGGGGTGCCCCCCTTCCCACCTGCTGTTTGCCCTCTCCCTGGAGAGGCAGTCAGAATGGATGGGGGAATTGTGGGCCATAAACTAGGGCATGCGGAACACTCATAGAGAGACCACTGACCTCCATCCCGAACCTTTTGGGCCTCTTCCATGAATTTGGGAGGGTCTCGAACTTGAAACTCAACACAGAAAAGTTGGAGGTCATCAACATCTCGGTCCTCCCAGAACTTGACGCGCACCTACGGTCCCAATTCAGATTCAAAAGGTGTGACACAAAACTGAAATACCTCGGCATATGGCTGACCAGAGAGCTCTCACAACTCTACCAGGCAAACTTTGTCCCCATCCTTGCCTCCTTGCAGGCGGATATGCAGAAGTGGGCAGACCTGTACATTTCTTGGTTTGGTCGTATTAATGCGATCAAGATGAATATTCTCCCGTGCCTCCTGTATCTCTTCCAGATGATACCGATCACGACCCAGAGAGCATTCTTTCAATCCATCTCTACAGCTATTTGGAAATTTGTATGGAATCGGGGAGCACCGAGAGTCAGTAAACACCAACTAGAATAATCCAAACAGCAGGGTGGTGCTGGGCTCCCCTCAATCATAGGATACTACCGAGCAACTCACCTGCTCAGGGTCACCGACTGGCATGCCCAACCGATGGAGAAACTATGGGTGCAAGCCGAAATTTCATAGGCTACTCTGGAGGCCAGGGGTGCCACTCAGCACCCTCCACACGGGTAACCCCCTGATAGATGCTACCTTGAAGATATGGTGCTCCCTCCGCTACCCGCAGCCGCTGACCACACAAAGCAGCCCGCTTACGCACCTCACCTATAATCCAGACGTCGGGGGAAGCCTAACGCCAGAAGATCTACAAAACTTCGCACGGACTGACTGGATCTACATACGCCAATGGTGCGACATTGGCACCCTCAAACCCCTGGCAGATATGCTCCCCGACACCACCCCAACAGGCCTTGACTGGTTCCGTTACCTCCAAATCATGACCTACTACTCCGCCACAGCAACCAAACGCCACTTCCACCGAGACCTCACATATTTCGAGAAACTCTGCACGACCAGGTGGCACGTAGAGAGAGGTATTTTGACGCTGTACGCAATGCTCCTAGACGGAGTAAATAGACCCCACCGAAGTTCATCGCTAGATGGGAGAGGGAAACCGGAGAGACCCTGACTGCCCAGGAATGGGACAAAATATTCTGACTCACACACAAAAGCTCTATTAGGTCAAAATTCCAGGAGATGAGCTACAAATTACTAATTGCCTGGTACAGGAACCCAGACGTATTACACCGTATGGATCCGGACAGCAAAGAGACATGCTAGCGGTGTGGAGAGGAGAGAGGCACTATGATGCATGTCTGGTGGTTCTGCCCATATATCACTCCCTTCTGGGAGATGGTAAACACTAAAATTAGAGAAATATTGGATCCGGAACTCCCGCTCCAGCCCCTACCCATGCTACTGCACCACACAAGCATGACGCCAAAAACCTATAAGAAGTCCCTGATGAAACATCTACTGACTGCGGCAAAATCCCTAATACCCACTCTCTGGAAAAAGACGAGCGCCCCCACCTTCCAGCAATGGGTAGATAGGGTGGGAGAAATATATGCCATGGATACAATGACTGTAGCCTTGAAGGGCTGCACTGAGGAGTGTACCCTGACATGGACCCCTTGACTCATGTACATTGCTGCGGACAGTCCAGGCACCAAAACCACATCCCAGCCCTGGCCCCACTCCCCTCTTCCTCTTCTTCCCCTCTCTTTCTCTCTTTCTAGCCCACCCTCTCCCTCTCCTCCCTATTTCCCCTTCCCTCCCCTTAGACCTTCACCCGACCGGACACCCCGCACCCTTGACCAGAACAGAACACACATTCAGTGGGTTATCGCACACAGGCAACATACCACTTGCTGGACTGGGAATAGCCAGTAGAAAGAGCTCAGACCAGTTAACGTGACGTAATGCAAATGCACATGATGACCAGGTTACCCCGGGCCCATGACCTAACCCACTGTGGGAGACACCACCAGCACTGTCCCTCTGGAACCACAACCCTGTCCTACCAAGGATGATAGTTTACAGGTAGCACTCCACTCAGGTACACATACCTAACCCCTAACCCTGGTGGCAAATTAGCCACACATGCCCAAATAGCCAATGCAGATGGCTCTCCTTACACACCATGACCACTCACACATAGGTAGGTTGGTAACGGCTACACCAGCCCCGCTCCCGTAGACTAAGACTAAGATCCAACCAGGTGACACACTGGTATAGCCCGGGCTCCATAAATGCAGACTACTGACCATTTGACCTTGGTGGGGTCTCACACCCAAAATGAGTCTCATTACTTGTTACAGAAGCATGGTTCCAAGCATATAATTAAAATGTAATGTGGATTGCACACTGTATATGCGCAAGTGGGCTATGGAAATGCATACCAAATCTTACTTTCGCCACTCGACCTTAGTCTGCCGAATGTTTTCAACACTTACTGTTAAAAATACCCTGTTATTGTGACTGTTCGTTCTTGACACTGTACGGTCTTATCACTTGATTGACTATTTCCCCCTCCCCTTTTTCTTATTCCTGTAACCCCACTTGAACTTGAAAACAACAAATAAATAAAGATTGTCAAAAAAAAAAGAAATATATATCAGCATGATCCAGTAGATGTGATCTACTTGCATTTTGCTAAAGCATTTGATACAGTCCACATATAAGATTACTAGTAATCTAGTTGGTTGGTTTACAATATATTGTGTTCTTGGATAGAACACTGGCTTAAAGAGTAGTTGATACAGAGTAATAAAATGGAAAACTTTCAAATCAGACAAAAGTGGTAAGTGGAGTGCCTCAGGGTTCTGTCCTAGGTCCACCGCTCTTTAATATGTTAATAAATGATCTTGAAGTGGGCATTGAAAGTCATTTGTCTGTGTTTGCAGTTGACACAAAGCTATAGAACATCTCCACAGAAAGATTTGGATGAATTGAGGAACTGGGTAGGCAAGTGTCAGTGAAGATTCAACGTAGATAAATGGAAAGTCATGCATTTTAGAATAAGGAACTCACATGTCACCTATACAATAAATGGGGTTGAGTTAGGGATAACATTAATTGAAAAGGACTTGGCAACAATTATAAATCACAAACTAGACAACAGTGTGCAATGCTGGCCTGCCATTGCAAAAGCTAGTATGATGCTTTCTTGTATAAAAAGGGGCATGGATTAATGTGAACGAAGTATAATGTTGCCTCTTTATAAATCATGTTCTATTAAAACTGCCTGCGGCTTGAGTGCCTGGAGAATTTCTTGTGTTACCTTTATAAATCAATGGCACGATACCACCATGATTATGCTGACACCTGTTTTAATAAATATTACAGAACTAGAAAAAGTGTAAACTTCATGATAAAAATCTACATCTTGGAGTTGTATTTTGTGTGCCAACATAACGACACATCAAA